TTCTTAGCTTCAACCCAGAAAATGTATGGTGCTGAACTGGCCAGTGTAGATTTTCAGCGAGCCTCTGAAGATGCAAGAAAGGTGATAAACGAGTGGGTCAAAGGGCAGACTGAAGGTAAGAGAGTGGGCCGAATGTAGGCATTCATTACACACTGGCCGTTCCTTTCCTCCTTCCACTTTCCCAGCCTGCAGATAATTCCCTGCCCTTTTCCTCTGCCCTCACCCTCTTACTGGGGCTAAACTCTGCCACTGCCCAGTGCCAGACAGCCTTCAAATGTGGAAATTCCTCAAAGTGGGAACTTCAACATGCTTTCACAGAAGCAGCTAAATATTTTCCCCATAAATTCACCAAACCACATTTTAAAATTAAAACTAACATTGAATGTAGGATAAAAAGGATAAAGTTTTAAGGAAAATCCATCCTGGCCCAGATTATGGAAGAGTCCTATATAATAAAAGTCTAATATGCTAAGTGTTGGGTCATCTGGTCAATTGTCTGTTCAACCAATCAGAGGGCAATATACTAATGATATGCTATGACAACTCAATCGCTTGCTAGGATGTGCACTGTTCACCAGGGTATAGACACTCTGACCAGTAGGTTAGCTTGCTGCTGGAGTCTGGCCAATCGGGACTGAGCGAGATAGGCCAGACATATCATGGCACCCTGTCACAGTCACTTCCTGGCAGGACAACCTCCCTCATCACTCCCAGCCGCGATCATGCACGAGTGGGGTCTCTTCCCCTGGCCTACACCCTCTCACAATCTGGGACCCCTCAGGGAATGTCGGAGAGCCATTTATTCTTGAGCCTGCTCAACCCAGGAGCTTCTCCTTGGTGGTCAACGCACTCTAACAGGGGGAGGGACACTCAGCCAAAAGCCAGGTTCACAGCTGGCTAGCACAGCAGTGGTAGCAGGAGCCTATTCCATCTCCGCAGCAGTGCTAGGGATATCACATTGACTGCTTAGGCCAGCTCCCCACTGAAAGTCGGTGGTCCCTAAGCCACCAGTCAGACATCCCCCGAGGGCTCCCAGACTGTGAGAGGGTGCAGGCTGGGCTGAGAGACCCCCACACCGAGTGCACAAATTTCATGCACTGGACCTCTAGTCTATAATAATAAAAGCATAATATGCTAATTAGACCGGACGCCCTTCTAGACGACCATCAGGATGAAGCCGCGGTGTTGGAGGCTGAGCCCCTGGCACAAATTTCATGCATCGGGCCTCTAATATTCTCATACTTGTGACACAAACTGCTGTGGCCATAAGTATTTTGGGAAATGCCTTGTCTAACCTGTCAGGGGTGCCTCCATCTCAGGTGTTTCTCCACCCCACTGTTTCTAACCTTGTCTATGTCTGAATCAAGGCACCTACCCAACACCTTTCTCCCATCCAAGGCATTCTTCATGGCCATGCTGTAATCACAAGGGAACTGGTGTTTCAGAAAACTAACTGTCCTAGCCTTCAGATATCTGATAAAATATTTTCTATGAGAGCAGCTTCCACTTGGAGGCTTTGAAGAAGTGACTTATTTAATAACTAGAGGCCTAGTGTACATAATTAGTGCATGGGGTTAGGGTCCCTCAGCATGGCCAGCAGCGTGTTCAATCCAGGACCCCTTGGGGGATATCTGACTGCTGTTTTAGGCCAGATCCCTGTGGCAGTTGGTCATCCTTCTTGCAATCTGGGACTACTGGCTCCTAGCTGCTCACCTGCCCGCTGGCCTGATTGCCTTATCTGCTCTTCCCTGCTGCCTCATCCTCCTAACTGCACTCCCCTGCTGGCCTGATCCCCCTGAATGCTTTCCCCTGCTGGCCTGAACCCACTAACTGCTCCCCCCTGCCAGCCTGAACCCACTAGCTGCTCTCCCCTACTTTCCTGATCACCTAACTGCTCTCCTCTGCTTGCCTGATAGCCACCTACTGCCTCTGCCTCAGCCCCGCCACCATGGTTTTGTCCTGAAGAACATATGCAAGGTAATCTGGAAGATGTTTCGTCTAATTAGCATATTACCCTTTTATTAGTATAGATCGTTTTCATGAAAAAATATTTTTTATGCCTGCCAAAGAATGGCCATTCACAAAAGAAGGCTCATTGTTTCTCATACAATGCAGAAAAGATTGTCCTATTTTTAGCTTTTAAACCCTTTAGTTGGTTTATTTATGGTCAAAACATACTGGTAGGGCTTCCCTAACAACACATTAATGGGAATTAAATAAAAGGTATTAATTTGAATTTCATTTCAATGCAGTTCAAGAATGGGATGCTGATAGGTAAATTTTTTTTAAAAAAATCTTACTTTATTTCTTTAGGGAAAATTCCAGAATTGTTGGCTGCAGGCGTGGTTGATAATATGACCAAACTTGTGCTAGTTAATGCCATCTATTTCAAAGGAAACTGGCAGGAGAAATTCACTAAAGAGGCCACAAACAATGCTCCTTTCAGATTGAATAAGGTGAGGTGATGTAATTATAAGATTGCTCTTTGCTCTAAGAGAATGCAGATAATACTGTGAATGACTTGCTTTCTTCAACTCTTCAGAAAGACACAAAAACAGTGAAAATGATGTATCAGACGAACACATTTCCATTTGGCTACATCGAGGACCTTAAGTGCCGGGTGCTGGAGCTGACTTAACA